TACTCACATGTTCTTATATTATGTTAGTAGACTGTATGTTGTGTGTTTCTTCGCTGATGAGCCGCTTCGTGGTGGGTGTCTTCGCTGCGTACTGCTTCGTCTAATGCTGCTTTCTTTTTTTCTTTTTTCGTTTTGGTTATGCGTTTTAGTTGTCTTGCTGTTTTTTTTTGCACTTGTGGGGTATTTATCTCACTGAATGCTTGTTTTAATCGAAGTTTTAATTTCGTTTTTTTTTTTTTTGTTTTTTGGGTTCGTTTCGGTTGGGCGCCAATTAAGCTTTTTTGCTGTAGTTGTTAGATGTTAGTGTGCGGTGTTGCACAAAATGAGTAGACTTCAATAATCCCGTGGCGACGACCGACGTTCTTTATTATCAAAAATCAACTAAAGTACAGTGACATAAATTCTTATATCCAAAGCTAGCCCTAAACCCTGATTATGCTGACATTGCATATTTACGCGAGGCATCGCATTACTTCGGGCAACAACATTGTTGCGCGTTGGAGCCACTGCTGCTGTTGTGCAATATCCGCTGGGAACGGCTACATTCATGCTGACGGCGCGTGATCAATCTGAACATTTATGTTTTGCTGGTCGATTGTGTTAACTTATATATATATATATATACGTGTACATGCATATATATTTATATATGGATAACGCAACGTTTCAAGCTGTTGTTTATTATGGACATAAGTATAACTCTAAAGATAATATAATTATACAAATATATACATGTATGTAGATGTATCTGTATATGTATATGTGTATATTTATACAAACAAGCGAGATCGGCTTTAAATTATAACGGCATTAGTGTTATGATTAACTAAAAAACTAACAAACAGCAAACAAACAATGATAAAACGTATACAATTTGAACGAACTATTTAAGCATATAGCACACACATTTATACAGATGTATACATAAATATATATATATAGTAATGTATATGGGTATATTTATATATTTAAAATTAGTGTTGAATTTTTTTCAGTGTGATAATTTGTTAAATCTTTACGTATACTAATGTTGCTAATATTTGTTGCTATAGAACCTGTCCCAGCCAGACAACATTCTATACGATTTTTGTTCTATTCTTTTTCCAAATGTTTTCTATACTTTTTATATATATATATTTGTGCATTCACCCGATTTCATTTCAATCTGAACAACAACGACAATTATTTGGCATATTCAATTCAATTTTCAAACAACATTTAGTTATATGTATGTATCTATATTTGTTATGCTATTTGATTTCGAGCTGCACTCTAATTGTGTAACGTTGATTGTACATATATTTTTCACAATTTTATACATATACTTTATACATATATTATTTACGAAATTGTAATTGATAATTTAGTGAATTAATTAATTAATTTGTATGCTTTTAACGAGCAGTTAGAAATGCGCGCGCGCACTGCACAAAAGTCGACGTAGCGGTTCAATGTGAAGGCTATTTTACAGGTTTTTGTTTAAACTAATTTGTAACGAACGTTTTAATGATAACATACACAATATTTTTTACTTATTATATACATATTATTATTATTATATTCTTTACATATTATGTAGCATATCACAATTTCTTCAACTTTATTGCGAGAGAACGTTGTTTAGTCTCTCAATTTTTTATTGTATAATTATAATTATTATTGATTTTTGATTTTCTGTAATTCTATAAAACTGTAGTTGGGTTCAATCGTTATAAACATTATTTTAAAACACGAAAAAAATAAAAAAACAAAACAAAACCTATACAAAATTATAATATACATATACATATATATATATATATATATATATTAAATATAGTTTTTTAATTTTATTAAATATGTTTAAAATGCAAACAGATCCTAAATAAAAATTTATATACAATATATAAAAATAAAAAACAAACAAAAATTGGAAAGTGTGCATTTATTTATATATTTTTCTTTTATTATTATCATTTATTCATTTAACAAATTATGATGCTGAGAAAATTACAACTACACCAACAACAACAACGATAAGTAATACAAAATTAAAAAATAATCATAATAAAGTAAATGTGCATAAAGAAATGGCGATATTAAGCACTTGGGAAAATAGAAATACCTCTCGTTAAGTTCAAAAATGGAAAACCTATAATAAACATACAAATTTATACATAAAAATTAATGAAAATCAAGTATAATTAAAGTAATGTTAATATAATTATTTGTACATACATATATTATATATACAAATACAATGGGGTAATTTAAGTTACGTGAATAATTAGTTGAATTTCAGTTATTTTAAGAGGCTACATTTAATGCAATTAAATTAAAGTGAAAGTGAAAGATAGGAAGCGTTAGATATACACACATATATATCTATGCAGTTATTTGATTAAATTTGCAATTAAGTATTTTATTCTATGTCTATGTCTTACTTGAACAATTTCACCCACTAAACTCTATCGAACTTCGCTATTAATGAATGTTTTGGTGTCTAGTTTAATGGGCAGATTATCCAATAATTTTCGCAAGAAGGCCCATGGCTGTCATCTAAGTTTTTATTTATACTCGAATAAGACCTCAAAGGGATGATATAAACAGATTATTGATAACTGAAGGCCCCTGGTTGTCATCGAAGTGTTGATTTATGCTCGAATATGACCTCAAAAAGATGAAAAAAAAAAAAAAAAATAATAAATAATAATAAATTTATATATATATATAAAATATATATATACACAAGTATACTGCATTTAAGTATAGGTTTGAATAATGCAAGTTAGGTTTAATTGCATACGTATATATATACATATATATTTATATATTTAAGCGACTTGGCAAACGATTATAGCAAATTTCACACACATACACACACACAAATAGTACATATAAAGTGCATTAATGAATTTAAGCATTTAATGAAATTAATTAATTTATAAGCATACAAAATTATATATATATACGAAATTACTGAAATAGTTATACATAAACTATACATATATATATATATATATATATAAAATTATATATATATATATTGAGCAAACAAATATTTACAAAACGAAAAATAAAATTCCATATGCATAACGAAAATTAATTTCATAAATATATTACACCTAAACCTAGCTACGAATTATACAGCAAAAAAAAAAAAAAAAAGTTTCACAATTTCCATTTTGATACATAACTATATATATATATATAAAAATATACATATATATATAGAAATAAGTTACAAGCACATCTAATTAAGTTAATTAAGATTATTGTAAATATGAATTCAACTTTTTAACAATTCTATTTGGTTTATTAATGATAAATTTTCTTTTTAGATCTGTATATAGTTTTATTCTCTCTTTTTGCAACCTAGTACCATAAATTTGTACCAAAATAAAAAGTAAAACAAAGAAAAATTAAATAAATTATTAAATAACAAAAATACAAAATGCAACGCCCTGTACCCGTGCATCAGCCTACAACAAACAACCACAAATTGTTAAACAAATATATATATATATATATAAAATAAAAATAAAAATAAAAAAACTATTTATTATAATTACAAAATGAAGCCCTGAACCGTAATAAGTAGTGCCCAAAAACAACAACTAATACAAAGCAAACAGAATTATATATATGAATAAACATTAGCATTTAAAAAACGTTATAACAAATTCTAAAACAGCAGCCTAAATAGTTATTAACAAATGGAAAAATAGTGAAAGAAAAACAAACAAATTATAGCACAATTTTGTATAAACAAGAACAAGAAATTCATGAATAACCACAAATACTTTCAAATACAAGATTAGATATTTATACACATTATAAACTCTCTCTCTCACACACACATACATATACACTGGAATATTTAAGCAAGGTAACAATTAGAGAGCAAAACGCCTGCAATTGAATTATTAACATTTAACATTTATTATTTCTGCTGCTATATATAGATTTTGTATCGGAAAAGCTGGGAGGATCTATTGTTGATTGGCTGTGTTAAAAGAAAGAAAACAAAAGAGAAAGGAAAAACTGAATGCAAAAGCGAAAAGAAGAGGAGCAAGCATAAATAAATATATATATAGTTTGAACAGGTCTACAGATTTGGTGGTAAGTGTCGAGAGTTTGGGTTTAGAATTAGTTAGAGATCAACTTAACTGATTAACGTTAGGTTAGTTTTCGCTAGGCATTGGATAAGGTATATACAACTGTATATAGTATATACACGTACATGGGAATGAAATCAGTTTTAATTTCGAGCAAACTTCAGTTCAAATCATCTACATATGCATCTACATATATACTAATTATTAAGTATTAGGCACATTAATATATTTATGTGTATATTCTCTTTGCCTATGTTGATTTATATTAAACGTTTCTTTTTGTTCAGTGTATAAGCAATTGTCTATGAAATACAACCAATAACAAAAAAAAATAAATAAATAAATAAATAAAAATAAATAAATGAGTGAAGAAGAAAAGTTAAAAATCAAATGCAAGCCACATAGATGTTAAATGTTATATTTGTGTTATTGTCACTTGTCACTGTTCGTTCACTGTCACTGGTCCCTTGTCACTGTTTATATGTTGTCTCTTTCCCTCTCACACACTCTATTCAAACGAAAAAAAAACTATTATGTAATAATAATTCAGACATATTTTATATAAGTCTATGTACCTTTTTGCTATGTATTGTATTTCTATCTACTAAACAAACATACACACTCACACACATATATACAACTCGCACACAGTCGCAAATTATATAGAAAGTTTCACACAAGCGAAAAATAATTATAAAAACAATTTTCAGAAAACATTTGTTATGCAAAAAGACACGAAAAAAACAACTAAACTTAATGGCATTAATTTTTTAAGTAATTAATTAATAATTGTACATGTGTAAATGGAAATTTTTGGAATTTACAAAATTCAAACAAAATGAATTTACATAAAAAAAAGCAAAGAGAATGAAAATACTAAGAATTAATATTATGTGCGCTACGTTTATGTTTGTACTTACAAATCTATGGATACTTAAATTTATTAATTATAAATTAAATATACAATGAAATTGCAACAACAGCAACAACAACAACAGCAACACAGGCAACATCAACACACGTACACTTAATGTTTGAGAACAAAAACAAAAAAACAACATTGAAAATGAGAAAATGAAAAAGACTAAATAAAATATTAATGAAATAAGATGAAGAAGAAGAAGAATTGAAGTTGCGCTTAGAGTTTGCCCAGCTTGTTGGCCATGTCCACAATCATGTGCAGATTGGAGTTGAGAGTCTTGATCTGATTCAGAGTAGTCGAGTCCAGCTGCTTGAGCACCTCACGCTTCACCTCCGAGAGCTTCTGCGGCTTCAGCTTGAGCACGCCCGCCTTGGTGGGTATGTGGACATTGGCACAGCGATCGGGAAACCTGCAAATAGAAGGAAGTTGGTGAGTTAAGTAAGTGGTGAAAGTGGTATTTGATTTAACTTCAACTCTCACGTTTGCACGGCGAGCGGACTGCCGCCGGTGGAGAGCGCCAGCTCGCCGGGCTTGGGCCAACGCAGGAGCGCCATAGCCGGCAGCTCGACACGGCGCAGCACAGCCCGATCCACGGACTGCACCTGGAGCCGTGCCACCGGTGGCTTCTGGGGCTGCGGTGTGCGCAGACGGCTGCTGCGTGTGATCGACTGACTGCGCATTTTGGGTGGAGCTGCTGCAGGGAGAAAAGAATGTTGAAACAAGCCAGAATACTCTATTCGCAGTACTCGACTAGAAGATACCCGAATAGATAGAAAAGGCGTTGCCTGTTTTCGTTAATTATTAAATTATTTCTGTTAACTTATAGGAATTTAATGAAACTTTCAGCATTTGCCGTTAGAAAAATGCCAACTCTTAAATATTTGAAGCTAGTATCTAAAATATTAAAATAATCGAAACTCTATTGAACACACCTTCACTTATATGCAAAATTTTGAGACCCTAGTTCCAAAGATGTAGGAGTTGTAATTGTTGTAGGAGTTGTAATTAATAGAAGTTTTAATCGGTAACAAAGACCTGGAGTAGTTATCGATTTATTACCAAACTCAATCTGCGCGTGATATATAGGGAAAGACCTATAATAGATTTCAAATCCTTAGCTCTTATAGGTGCTGAGATCGACGCGTTCATACGGACCGGCGGATATGGCTAAATCGACTCAGCTTGCCCTGACCAAGAATTAGCGTATATACTATTTGTCACGCCTCCTCCTCTTTCTGTCCGACACATACATTTAAAGAAAGCCACTATACTCCGATCTCCAGTTGTCGATGGGGGTACAGGGTATAAAAGAGCTATGAAAGATTCGAGGCAACGGCAGCTACTCACCCAAGCAACGATAGTCCTCAAAGTGCTGGAGATTGAGTTGCATAAAGTCGCTCCACTTCATGTGCAGCACGTGGTCGTGTGTGCGCGCCATGATGAGCTGGAGCTGATTGTGCACCTTCTGCATGCTGCGCCTGCCCAGCTCATCGATCTTCTCCAGCGCCGACTCGAGCTTCATTTGCGCCATTTTCAGTTGATCCTCGCGTTCCGCCTCCTCGCGCACCTGCAGGCGTTTACGTTTGGCTACTTTAGTGCGTGGCATCTCGAGATGAAAAACGATCGGAAAATGCCTCGTTCTCGATTTCAGTTTCAGTTTAGATTAGTTAAGGCTGCTGCGCCTGCTGCGTTCGAGCATTGAAATTTTTATTAACTTGAGACAACTTAATTTTTAAATACACTTTAAAAACGATTGAAATATGGGAAACTGAACTTAACAAACTAAACGAACATAAAATACGTATTGTATATGGTTAGCGAACATATATCTATATGTAGTTTTGGATTGGTTTAAGATAGATTGAAGTTGACGACGAGCTCTATGGGTTATTTGAGGGCAGCCTTGTTGGCCGTATTCACAATCAATTGCAAGCTTTCGTGCAATGTGCGGATCTGATTTAGAGTGTCCTCGTCCAGATTCTCCAGCAGCTCTGCTTTAACCTCGGCCAGTTTCTTGGGCCGCAGCGATAATACGCCATTGCGTATGGGTATATTCACATTCGCAAATTTGTCGGGCATGCTGTAAGCAAAGGGAATCGGAATTTAGCCAATGGAATAGGTAGACATATGAGAGAGAGTGGAGGCGACATTACTTACACCTGAGCTACGATTGGACTGCCGTATTTGGAGAGCGCCACCTCGCCGGGCTTGGGCCAGCGCAGGAAGGCCATGGGCGGAGTGCTGGGCGATGTGTTGCGCTTCTTCAGCATGCGCGGCGTACGATCGGCGCTGATGGCCTTTGGTCGTGTTGCCATTGGGGTGCGCATTTTGCTGCGCGAATTGCGATGGCCGTTCGGGATGATGATGCTGTTGCTGCTGCCGGCGGCAATGGCTGTGCTTGTGTTGCCCAGCACCTTGGGTATGACGCTGCCGCAGGCCGAGCGACTGCGACGCTCGCGGCGCGCACGCGCCGAGTGCAGCGGTCCGGGTGTGCGCATGGCCTTGGCCGAGCGCAGCATGGAGCCGGTGTATGCGGACAGGGTGCTGGCGCTGCTGCAGCTGACGGCGCCGCCCAGGCTGCTGTCCTCTGTAAGGTAGCCTAAATAGAGTGTGCACCAGCAAATGTGACGTAGATGTGGATGTGGTTGTATGTGTGTGCGCGCATGTGCATGTATGTGTGTGTAAATGATGACAAAAATGTTAGAATTAGTAGAAGATTAGAGCAGAGGTTAGAGACCGCGCCACCAAGAAGCAAAGCCAAAAATATTGACGAAAAACAAAAACAACAAACAAACAAACAAATACCTTCGTCATTGCGACTGCTGGCCGCTGCGGTTACAGCTGCGCAGTTGGTGCTGCTGCCGCCGGCGACGTCGCCGCCATTTGTTGTATTGCTGTACATGGACTGCGAGCCCAGATGCTGCGTCTGATCGCTGGCCTTGAAATCGCCAAAGTGCTCCAGGTTGGGCAGAATTTCCAGGAAGTCGCACATTTTCATTTCGCGCAACTCGGATTGCAGGCGCAACGTGACGCCCTGCAGCTGCGTCTCGACCATCGCATTGTAGCGCTGCTCCAGATCGTCGATGCTCATCAGCACGGAATCCATTTTTAATTCGTATATGCGTATCTTCTCCTCGCGATTGGCAGCCTCACGGTTCCGTTTCGAGTTTTTTGTTATCTTGGTACGCGGCATATTGGCAGCGTTTTTCGATTTACTATTTCAAAATTTAGTCTAATTAAAAATATAATTATTTTAATTTTGCGTTTTTCTTTGTGTGGCGCAAAAAGCAAGCGTCACTCTCTGTTTTATCTGTTTCTTTTGAGTTTTTCCGCCTCGTTTGTACAGCTGGCTTCGATAGGCTGACAGCATTGATGTATCGCATGCAACATATCGATAGTATATTCGATAGTATTCGTAGCAACAGATTTTCTGAACTTAACAGTGCAACTTGAGTAGTCTGGCAGTGCTGTTTATTGCCGCGAAAGTGTTGGAAAAAATAGTTAAAATGTGTTATATAGCTGTATTTTTATTTACTTTTTTTTTTAAATGAGTAAATATGTGTGTATCAAATCGTTATATTTTATGACAATTGCACAAAAGCAGCTTATTAATTTTGTACGTGTGTATCGTAATTTGATTTTCGCCTGCAAGCACCGTTATTTGCCTGCAAGCCTCTGCCTCTGTTATTGCTGCTCTCTTTGTGCTCCACACTGCATGTTAACATTTATACTCATTATAAAGTGTTTGCATGTCGGAAATTCCGGTCGGAATATGAAATTGGAGGTAACTATTCTAGGTATTATATTTTTTGTTGAATTATAGAATTTTTGGACACAAATTATTTACAACTTTAAATAAATATATAGCGTTTTCATCTTATATACTTATATAAAATACTGTAGTAGAATTGGGGATAATTAAACGATACTTTAGATTGCTTGAAAGCGTCTGTGAATCTAAAACAATTTCTTTATGTTATATTCATTCGAAATTCAATATTCATATTTCATGGTTAGAATCAATATTTTTGATTATATGAGTTTTTTATGTTGAATTAAATATTATAATAAATTGATATATAAACACATTTCTTACAGCTTGTATAAAATATGAAAGGAACTTATTTTTAGTTAATATACTACTCAATAATTAATATATACTCAATTAGTTTTTTATAAATATAATATTTAATAAAGTCTGGATTATTACAGTTGATTTCATATTTCCATTGAATGTAGAAAAGTTGAGAGAGCAGTTCGCTGTACGAATTGCCACAAATAGCTTGAAAATTGCGTTTGGGGTGGAAGGGCCAACATTAGTCGCATCAACGCCCGAATTTGGAGCACATTTCAAGACTGCAAAAACGCAAGTACCCCAAAAATTACAGCCGCAATCCTATTAGGCAGGCCCCTCCTCCGCTTCAGCTCCCGCTGGCAAACACGCATTCGTATGTTGCCAAAGCAAGTATCTGTATCTGTATCTGTATCTGTATCTGCATCTGTATCTGTATCTGTATCTGTATCTGTATCTGTATCTGTATCTGCATCTGTATCTACATCTGTATCTGTATCTGTATCTGTATCTGTATCTGTATCTGTATCTGTATCTGTATCTGTATCTGTATCTGTATCTGTATCTGTATCTGTATCTGTATCTGTATCTGTATCTGTATCTGTATCTGTATCTGTATCTGTATCTGTATCTGCATCTGCATCTGTATCTACATCTGTATCTGTATCTGTATCTGTATCTGTATCTGCATCTGCATCTGCATCTGTATCTGTATCTGTATCTGTATCTGTATCTGTATCTGTATCTGTATCTGTATCTGTATCTGTATCTGTATCTGTATCTGTATCTACATCTGTATCTGTATCTGTATCTGTATCTGTATCTGTATCTGTATCTGTATCTGTATCTGTATCTGTATCTGTATCTGTATCTGTATCTGTATCTGTATCTGTATCTGTATCTGTATCTGTATCTGCATCTGCATCTGTATCTACATCTGTATCTACATCTGTATCTGTATCTGTATCTGTATCTGTATCTGTATCTGTATCTGTATCTGTATCTGTATCTGTATCTGTATCTGTATCTGTATCTGTATCTGTATCTGTATCTGTATCTGTATCTGTATCTGTATCTGTATCTGTATCTGTATCTGTATCTGTATCTGTATCTGTATCTGTATCTGTATCTGTATCTGTATCTGTATCTGTATCTGTATCTGTATCTGCATCTGTATCTACATCTGTATCTGTATCTGTATCTGTATCTGTATCTGTATCTGTATCTGTATCTGTATCTGTATCTGTATCTGTATCTGTATCTGTATCTGTATCTGTATCTGTATCTGTATCTGTATCTGTATCTGTATCTGTATCTGTATCTGTATCTGTATCTGTATCTGTATCTGTATCTGTATCTGTATCTGTATCTGTATCTGTATCTGTATCTGTATCTGTATCTGTATCTGTATCTGTATCTGTATCTGTATCTGTATCTGTATCTGTATCTGTATCTGTATCTGTATCTGTATCTGTATCTGTATCTGTATCTGTATCTGTATCTGTATCTGCATCTGTATCTGTATCTGCATCTGTATCTGTATCTGTATCTGTTTAATTGACAAAGCAAAGCAACAGTTTACCGCCTTAAAGCCAAGGTCGAACGGGCCAAGGCGAATGCTTTTGGCACAATTGATATGCGGTTATGCCAAAGGCATATCCAATCGACGTAAACGTCAACATTTTCGCTTCACTTTATTTTGCGAGTGAAAGGCGAAATACAACAAAAACGGCGGCAACAACAACATTGAAAACCCAATTTGCAGGACCAAACGATGCGTTAAGCATACAAAATGCAAAACGGAAGCGACTTTCATGGATAGATTACACAACGACTTACTTTACATAGACAGAGACGAACACACTCACACACACATATATATATATATACACACAGGGAGCTCTGTAACCGCAGCTCTTTGGCTCTGTTTGCGTATTTGCAACTGTTGCATATTGCAGTGCGTGCAACGCTTTTATTGTGGCGCCTGTCGGTGCTGCCACATGAAACTGCCTTCCACACGCGGCAGCGGTAGAGGTAGCATCCGACCAGATGCATCATTACATTTTGTATATGTATATTGTAGAACAGGTGCAACATCCAGTTGGACAGGCACAGCGCAAGCCACACAAAGACCAGGATATACAATCCAGACAGCTTACCTGGCAGCCATATCGAAAGATGTGGGTATAATAGCTGCCGTTGCTACTACTGCTCCTGCTGCTACTCCTGCAGGTCCTGCTGCTGCTACT